TTCCTAAATTGTGGATCACAAACACAAAAGAACACTAAAACATTTATAATATTTTTTTCATAAAATAATAAGAAAAATATACATTTTTTGTCCCTAGTAATTCTATTAATATTTTAATTAATATATGTTTGCCTTTGTGGACGTGACAACAACACTTTTTGCCAATGTTCTTCCATAATTGCCCTCTAATAAAAAATCATACATTTGTATGATTAAACAATAAACGATTCAAAGTTCAAGAATAATTATTAAACAATATTAAAAGTTTAACACAAAAAATAATAATAATAATAATAAATAAATAAAATAAAATGAGGGTAAATTTGGAAAATAAATATAATTATAATTTTATATATTAATTAAACTGTGAAAAGATATTTAAAAATAGAGACCTAAATGGAAACAAGAGAATGAAAACAAAGGTATAATTTTTTTAAAAAACAATATTAATAAAATAATAATAATTAATAATAATAATAAACTATTATATTTGTAAAGAGAATAAAGACAAAAAATTTGAGATGGGAAAATTATTATATATGGGGTGGTACCATTATGGTGACAACATTAATGATATTTAATTATTAGTGTGGAACTCTTTTCCATATTTATTTGAATACAACAACAAACGTTTCTTAAACATCGGGACACGAGTCGAAGTATAACAATCAAAATCCATCGCTAACAGATATTGTTCACTTTGACTTTCACAGAACATGTCTTTTAGGGAGAGGTTTTTACTCTTATAAGAAATATTTCGTTTCCCTGTTCAACCGATGTGAGATCTCATACAGAGATTATATTTTCGACCTTATAAGGACTGAGATCTTAACCGATGTGTTCACACAGTTATAAAGAATGTTTCGTATGTGGAAAACTATATTATAGTATTTAAATTTAAATTTTTTCAAAAATTATATTAGTAAAACATTATAATATAGATTTATAATAAAATATTATTTAAATTTAAGTATGAGGGAAATAATAATTGAATATATATATATTGATTTTTATTATTATAGTGAACTTGAACCTATTACCGGTAGAAATGGTAATGGAGATAGTGGGAAGGGAAAGAGTACAAAAATTGAAATATTAACTAAAACAAATATATAATTATTATACAAAATTCAATAATAATAATAATAATTATTATTATTATTATATTCCGATCATAGAGAGGGCACACTCCAGATTCTTCGCCTTCAGCCCGACATACTCCTTCACCACCACAGACCGGAACCGGGGAGATTCCGGTGGATTGTTAAACGGCGTCACGCAGAAATCCGGCGGCGGTCCAAAGAAATACGCCATAGACAGGCGGCGTCGGGTCGGGTCGACGACAACCCGGTGGAGGACATTCGGGAACCGCCCATTCGACAGGATGTGGAACAGGTCGCCGACGTTGAGGACTAGTGCACCGGCTACCGGCGTCACAGGTACCCAGCCGAACCCGTCCCTGAAAATTTGGAGCCCGCACGTGCTGCTTTGGTGGAGGATTGTCAATAGAAAGGTGTCGGTATGTGGGGCCAGACCCATGACCCGGGTTGGATCCGGACACCGGGGGTAGCAGTTTAATTGCAAGGCGGTGCTGCAGGCGGCGGCGGCTCCGGCGGAATGGAGCCAGTTCGTGATTTCGGCGTCGTCGGGGATTTTAAGGAAATTTAAGATTAAATGTGTGATTTTCTCAGCTAAGGACTTCATGTTCTTCTGGTACTCTTCCATTACATCGCTTCATTTGAATATTAATTAATAGATTTAATAAGTAATTATTAAAAAAAATTAAAAATTAAAGAGTGATTAAGATACCCATTATGTATAATAATAATAATAATAAATTGTATAGATTATATTAAATTACCCGAAGAACATAAAAAAGAATGTTCAAATGCTTTAAAATATACGGTTTTATGTCTAATCAATTTCTTAATTTTAAAAATATTTATTAAAATTTTAAAATAATTAGATATCTATTTTTTTTTTTTTATGTTTATGATATTAATTTAAAATAAAATTGAAAGTTACTAAGTAATTATGAATTTATTAAATACAAAATTAAATATATTTTTTTTTTTTATACTAAAACTTGGATTTAAAAAATAAAAAAATAACAATAAAAAAAACAGCGTAATTATATTCCATATTTTTTTATATTATGTCTAAAGTAGATATATTTAGGATATATAAATTAATTCCAGCAGTTAAAATAGCAAAGAAAGAAAAGAAAAGAAAAGAAAATAAATAAATAGAAACGTGTATGAAAATGCATGAAGAAGTAGTTACCAGAACGGTTGGTAGTTAGAAGACCAAAGTTGAGAAGCATGTTCTGCGGAGGATCCCATAATAGTAAATCCTTCATGCCACATATACTTAGAGAAAAATGGCGTTATTCGAGGCAAGCCGTAGCCGGTGGCGTCGCCGGGAGCTCGAAGCGCCTTCAGCTTTCGTGTCATTGGAAGATCGAATAGTCGTCCCGCCTCGACTTCAGCTCTCTCCACCAAACTCGTCGGCACGCCATGGTTGGTCAATTGGAACACTCCCCATGTTTTACAAGCATTACCAATGAGCATCGCTGCATTAGGGTCAGACATATCGATCAAGGGAATCAAAACATCTTCATTAGTAGGAAGTTCAAGAGTATCGTACGAGGAATGAGGCCAATCGTGAGAGTCGGGGACAGTTCGTAATGAATCGAAGTCTAAAGGGACGATATGGTGAAGGTGAATAAGAGGGTGGTCTCTATATGCTTGAGAGAGAGTGGTCATTATGTTGATGGATTGGGAAAGCAAAGAAATGGGTTTGTTTGTATTAGAGTTTTGGAGCATTTGGGGGATTTTAAAACAAATTTAGAGGCAGAAAGAGATGAAGATTAGGTTAAAAATGGTGGCAATTTTGGACAAAGTGGTGTTTGTTTTTTTGGAAAATTGATATGAGGTTCAAGAAAGGGACAAAACAAGTTGTGGCAATCTCAATGCAAATCACTCACAAAATTACTATTTATTTTCTTTTTATTAAATTCATTATTATAATTATTATACTCGACCATCAGCTCACGTCCATTAGGAAGGAGAACAAAACATTCTTTATAAGGGTGTGGAAACCTTGAGGAGAAGCTCAAAAGAGAAAATCTAAAGAGGACAATAATATCTGCTAGCGGTGGGCTCGTCAAAAGTTTGAAAAACTTTCTAACAACTATTTATTAAAACATTTGGTTAACTCTAATTATATCGTTAATTTCTTTTTTAAAAAAACTAATAAATAGATTAAATGATAAATTCAACCTTAAAATTTTTAAATTTGTGTCTATTTAGTTTAATCCTAATCTTCAATTTTGGTCTACAAGATCCAAACAGGTCAATGATCAATCAACAACAGAGTTGGGAATGGTTAAATTCAACAACCAAATAGACAGAAACTTGAAAGTTCAAACTCCGAACTTACAATAAAACATATAAGAATATTAAATATAAGTGACAACAAGAAATAGACAGGCATACCAAGATGTCGAGTGGAGTTAATCTAAAAAGGGTCGGGTCGTGATCCAAATACAAAGGGGTGTAGAAGCAAAATAATCTTGTTGGTGGGCATTCAAAGATAAATTTTTGTCTCTTAGCATTTGGTAATGAGTCCAAAAACAGTTGCACAAAAAATAGACTTTTTTTCTTAATTTTGGTTTTGTCTTCTTAGGACCAATCAAATGGGAGAATCATGGTCCATTAACCAAAAGTCAATGAATCTCATTATTACCATATCTATTATTATTATTTTTTTTTTTTTTTTTCAAATGGAGAATATCATCCAACTATCAACATTACTTTATCATCTTATATTTTTCCTTAAAAATAATATACATTTTTTTCCTTTTTGAAATATTTGTGTGACAAAACAATTTTTTTTAATATATGGTTCATAATCATTGTGTAAACCCCACTAATAGTATTTTATGTAATAATGTAAATTATATATAAAAAAAATGCTATTCCCACTCGACAAAAAACTTTGTTGGGTAGTGAATAACAGAGGTTGGTAAGTCATTGCAGGTTTAGAGCGGTCAACGTAATTATGACTCAATTAGTTTAATTGTCACGAAATCATTAATATTTAGAATAATTTTTATTTTTGTGAATTTTTAATTTTATTGTGATTATTAACTGTAATCCTGATTGATATATATATATATATATATAATTATTTTCAATTAGTTTTAAATAATAATATTTAGAAAAGATCCTTTCATCTGGGCTCGAAGGCCCATTCGACAGTTGGGCTAGGCTGATCAGGACGAACGTGAAAGATAACTGCAAACTGGGCTGAAGCCCATAGCTAAAACGGCCCAGTTACTTTCAGCCCATGGGATAGGATCTTGTACGAGCAATTCCAGGCTATTAGTCTTTCATTATTATTATTCTTTTAAACAAAATATACTTTTGGTTCCAAAAGGTAAATGATCAATCGTATCTCGTTTGGCTCGACAATTTGAAAAAAAAAATTCATTTTTTCTCCCTGAAAAGTCATTGCTCGTTAAATATTAATAATAAAACATCATCATAAAACTACAAATCAATCTTCCCGGTATAATCACATACCCGAGGTTTAAACAAATCTAGGTTTAGGAAGCTTGAACGTGTCTATAACTTATATTTGACTCGAGGGTTCATTCATGAAAGTCGGTCCCTTTTTCTTTTAATACAAGTGGGTACGAAGATTTGAATCTCCAACTTTAAGGGAAGGAGTCCGTGTCTATATTCACTTTGGCTAGTTCTCGTGTTAGATAAATATGCAACGAGAGAGTCAATCCTAACCTACGAAATTGTTAGATTCTAGGCAATTCCCGACAGAATCTTCAAATGATGGAATGCCCGATTGCCCACCTAACCACGTTAATCTGAATTTTAGAAAGTTTCCATTTTCCTCCTCACCGAGTACGTAAAGCAAAGGGTAGTTCAATCGTATCAGTTGTCAAGGATTCAATCGACTCTCTTGCTATTTCTCGGGTTTAATAGTAAGGGGACTAATTTCTCCATTGCTCGTCAAGCTTAAACCATTCTTTTCATCTAGAATTCAATCCATAATCTCAGATCTTCCACATTCCCATGAACAAGAAAATTGCACCCCCACCAGCAAAAGGTAAGAACATACGATAAAAATCGAAGCTAGATAGTACCGAAACATGGGCGAGCACGGCGAGAGTTTGTTCGAGTTGGAGAACAAATATTACAGATCTCTCTTCTTCTCTATGCTCGAATCGGTGGCTTGAGCTTGGTCTCTACCACCTTTACCAGCATTGCTGCCATGAGAAGCTCCTGTTTTTGTTGTCAAAAGAACAAAAATACGTCATACAATGATTCGATTCCCGAGATACGTCGGTTTCTAGCTCGTGTATGATGCAGCGCCATAGATATAGATACGAGCACCAACCTGCTGATGTTGTTGAGATTCTCTCAACAGAGCCAACTAGAGGCATGGAGCTCCCAGCAACACATAGCTTTCCATGTGCTTCTTTGGCGACGATATCGAGTTCTCCACTTGGCATTTGGTTTTCGTTGATTGGCCTAGCTGTTGACTTTGTTGCATAGTTAGTCGACCACGATCCGCCGTTCGATCCAGCTAAGGCCATTATAACATCTGCCTGAAATGCATTGAAGAAAACATAGTTCAATCAGGTAATCGACTGAGTGAATATCGAACTCTCGCAACAAACATAGATTCTAAATATCTGTTCATTTGACACGAACGAGCCACGTTGTTCTTTTCTTGTCTGTGATAACGCTCTAACCTTTTGAGCATATGGGATCTATGGAGTTTGGAAAGCATTGCCATTTTCGGCTTAATCCGTTCACGGATGACAACGGATCCTACCGTTGAAAGCGTTTATGATATTGCTTAAGCTATGAAAATCAAAATCTTGAAAAGTGCAGCTTAACCATACATCAAGCATCACAAGTTCTCAAACGAGCAGAGATTCGAAACGGATTAACATAAAAGAACGTTGCAAGTGAACCCAAAACCGTGCGAGCCGTGTGACAGATTATGGGTGCCGAGGTAGCTCACACATTAAAACTTACGAGCAGGTCGAGGGAAAGCGATCTTAAGAACGGTCGATCAGATACCATCAATTTGGCATTCAAATGTGTTATGAAGTTGCTAAGCTTCTATTTGTGTGAAATGAGTGGCAGTTGGATCGTAAAAGAACGAAAAAAACGTGCGCCCAAAACTAGTAATTTAGAACACGAACCTTGTTTGGATGAACGTCGTCGAAGACATGAGCTTGACCACCGTAAAATATCGTCATCTGCCGATTAACCGATGTAAGACCACGTCGACTGCCATAACAAGCCAACAAGATGAGTAGCACAAAGAATAACATTTTCCTAAAGAGCTATCTGATTTAGCTATCAACACAGCCATTACCTTGAAGGAATACAGGATTCGGGATCTACAATATTAGTCCCGGACTTTTTGAGCAGGATCGACGAGTTTCGTTCAGAGGTTCCACCACCAGGATTACTCGAACTCAAGATTCCAGGACCTTTGATTCCAGTACGAGATCCCTCATCGGCAGCTGATTGAGATATATTCGGAGGAATAACGTTGGCTTCTCTATATCGATTTGTAGGTAACTGAGGGGAAAAAGGCACAAACGTCCCCCGAGGAGAGCACTGCACGGTCGGAGCAGGACCGATGTTCATAAGCGTGGATCTCTCCCACTTGGTAACATCAGCATCAAGTCTACTCCCACTTCCAACATGAGATTGCAGGATAAGCGATGCAGCGTTCGGCCTCATTGGATGCTGCATCCCAACCATCACTTCATCGTCATTTGATCTTCGATTTCGATCCCCGCCTGCTCCATTTCGTAACGTCTGAGTTAAAACACAACAATATCACTAAACATGGAGTGCAGCAAGCAGCAACTTAGCTACTACAAAAATGGAATATGAATTCAAACCTTCATTAGATGCAAGCTATTATGATGCGACTCGGAAGGCATATGTGGAACACCATCTCGATACGACGACATAAAACCAGAATCTGATATGCTTCTCTTACTCCCTATAATCCTACTATGGATCTCCGTAGTCGAGATATCGCCCCTCGGACCGTAAAACGGAACGCCTTCAAGATGACTACCTACCTGCCGATCTACTCATACCAATGAGAAAGGGGATCAAAATTTGCATTCATACACCAATCTCCAAGTCAGTGATCATACAAACTTAACACAGATTTTAAAACACGTCTGCTAAGGAAAGGTTTCCGCACCCTTATAAAGGATGTTTCGTTCTCCTCCCAATTGATGTGGGATTTCACAATCCACCCCCTTCAGGGCCCAGCGTCCTTGTTGGCACTCGTTTTTTTCTCTAATCGATATGAGACCCCCACCAAATCCATCCCCTTTGGAGTCAGCGTTCTTGCTGACACACCGCCTCGTGTCTATCCCCTTTGAGGAACAGCCTTTTTGCTAGCACATCGCCCAGTGTCTAGCTCTGATACCATTTGTAACAGCACAAGCCCACCACTAGCAGATATTGTCCTCTTCGGGCTTCCCCTCAAGGTTTTTAAAACGCATCTGCTAGGGAGAGGTTTCTACACCCTTATAAAGTGTGATTCGTTCTCCTCTCCAACCGATGTGGGATCTCACATAAACACTCAATGTCGATGCCTTATTTGGTTTGAGTTTACAATAAATTTCTTACTCAAAGTCGAACATTATGAACATATAAGAGAAAATGCATAAACAAAGAACACAAAAACGCTCAAAACTAGTGAAAGAACACATTAAAACCAGACCAGAAATCGCACAAATCATTCCCCAAATCAATAAACAATAAACAAAACCAAACTCAAAATGGGGTAATAACGATAGCCACACACACTGCCTCACCATATGATGAACAAACCACTAATCATTCCCAAAAGAAATCTCAAAAGACCCAATACTTTCTACCATTTTTTAAGAAAAAGTAAGCAAAAAACAACACCCAAAAGTTACAAAATGAAGAACAAGAAGCAGGGAGTAAAGTAACAAATGATCACATAAGAGAAAGACCAGAAGCAAGATCTGAGGAAGTAGAGATGAGGCCACGGCCGCCGCTTGAAGAGGAGCCACGGGAAGCAGAGGCAGCAGGACAGTGTTCAGACGGCCGCAAATCCGGCGGCGCCGCCTTCCGAGGAGAGAAACCCAGATGAGAATCAGGGTTTTTCATGCCTAAAAAATCATGGAAGATGGGATTGGGAGGCAATTGTGGATGTGGGTGAGTGGAATTTTTAGAAACATTGGTCAGCATAGTGTGGTGAGCCATTTATGAGAAGTAGAGCCACTCCATTAAAACCGCCCCCATCAAAGAACAGGGGAGAGGAGGAGAGAACAGTGGGGAGCTCGATTTTTGAGGGCGGAGAAGAAAAGGAAAAGGGGAAATTAAGAGATTTGTGAAAAGAAAACCAATTAGAAAAGAGGGATATAAAAGAAATTATAGGAGAGAGAGAGAAAGAGGGTAATAAAAAGCAAAAGTTGACATGTGTTCTCTGCAAATTTAATGGACCTTTCTTCTTTCCCCTTTCTTCAGCTGCCCCTCTGTTTCTCTTTCTCCCTCCAATTCCAAACCTTTGATTTTCATTTTTATATTTCCTTTTAGGGTTCTTGGGTCCGGGAATATCAAGTGCTATTTTATTTATTTTATTCTATTTTTTTTTAATAATATTTATAAATTATTAAAAGGTTAATATTTGAGAAATAGAAATTTAGAGGGTAATGAAAGGTTATATATACAAAATAAAAATTAAAAATTAAAAGAGAAGTATAAAGTCCTACGTCCTCCAATGATCATGGGCTTATAATAAAAGAATACTCTCTCCATTGGTATGAGTCATTTTGGGAAAGCTCAAATCATAGTCATGAGAGCGTATGCTCAAAATGGACAATATCATATAATTGTGGAGAGTGTGTTCATCTAACATGATATCAGTGTCATGCCCTAAAATTAGCCATGTCAATAGAATCCTCAAATGTCCAATAATGGACTCCAAAAGAAAAGGGAAGGCATAGTCAAAGATGACTAAGACTCCAAAAGAAAAAGGAGTCGAGACTCCTCGAAGTCGTAGTCAAAGATGACTAAGACTCCAAAAGAAAAAGAAGTCGAGCCTCAATTAAGGGGAGGCTTACGTACTTTGTTCGAGGGGAGGTGTTGGATGAAAGTCGCTAAAAATATTTTCTGTCAATTAACAATCTTGTAGATTAAATTAAATATGGACTAATGTGAAAAAAAATATTATATATATCCTCCATGTATAACAAATTAAAGGTGACGTGGCAAAAATTGAATAAAAAATATTATCGACGTCCAACCATATGAAGAATAAATATAAGACGTTGGTAAAATATGTCTACAATTTTGCTTTCCTTTCATAGTCCCCAATTTTTTTTTGTTCGATTTTCTTTTATTTTGGCATAAAAAGGCAGGTAAGACTCAGAATCACTTCGAAACTCATTGAAAATGAACATTATAAGGCTGAATCTAAAAGCTATCTAACGTGTTGTGGAACCTTCGACTTTGCAAAGATTCTTTAGCGATCATGTGAAGCTTAGTTTGCTTTAGCAATCACGTGATGATTCGACCTTTGTGGTAGATATAGAAGTTAGGCCAAGTGTTAACAAAGCTCTGTTGGTGATTCAAGTACACGATGAGTGTAGCAGCTCCCTCAAACATGCTCTTTGTACAAGCAATCCAAGAACTAATTAACAATGAACCGTGACTATATCGGAACGAGAGCAATCCAGAAGATAAGATGATTAAAAAAGACTTGAAGAATTGAAAGTGAATACTACCGAACAATTTTATGTTGGGTGACCTCGTAGAAATTTTTCTGTATACATGTGAGTAAGGACAAAATAAGTTCGAATAAATTAGGTTGCATCCGTGTTTGGTTTAAAATTACATAAATGCCCTTAATAAGTTAATAATTATTGGGTTGAATAAAAGAAGCAACATATAATGATGAATTTATAATAATAATAAATAAAGAGGTGGATTCCATTGGGGTAAGCATTTTAAATGTCACGCCCATTATATAATATATGATAATGAATTAATTAAAAACTATATGATACGAGATTAGGAAATAAAAAAGAAAGTGGATTGAAAGGGAGCGTGACAAATGCTCCAAATCTTGACCTTATATTAAAAAAAGAAATAAAGAAAAAAAGATGCAAAGTGAAAAAGCACTTTAATTCCATCACATTTATTAAACTAAGGTTGGTGGCTTTCTTTGCATCTAAAATTGGACTTATTTGCTTCCATCATCAATCAAATTATTATTTATTTTATTCTATAAGGAAAATGATTGGTACATTTTAAACTTTATTTTATTTTATTTTTTAATCATTTTTGTTGTTAAATTCATATGCTTTAAATATGGATTCTTTTTAATTCATAATTTATGTCCTTTTAAAAAGGTTATTTTGGTCTTTCTACATTAAAAATTCATTACTACAAATTTATGACTATTCTTTTAGAAAAGTTTAATAAATGACGCATCTCGATAAAATTTGGATTTAGAAAAGAAAAGGTGGAAGTGACTAGAGTCGAGTCGAGGTTTCCAACATTCTTGTAACGACCCAGATCCACCGCTAGCAGACCTAGATCCAAGCAGATATTGTCCTCTTTGGGTTTTCCCTTACATACTTCCCCTCAAGACTTTAAAATGTGTCCTCTTTGGGTTTTCCGGTCTGCTAGAGGAAGGTTTCCACACCCTTATAGAGGATGTTTTGTTCTTCTTCCCATCTAATGTAGGACATCACAATTCACCCTCCTTCGAGGCCCATCGTCCTCGCTAGCACACCATCTCGTGTCTACCCCCTTTGGGGAAGAGCCTCCTCGCTAGCACATAGTTCGATGTCTGGCTCTGATACTATTGTAACGACCCAGATCCACCGCTAGCAGATATTGTCATCTTTGAGTTTTCCCTTTCGAGCTTCCCCTCAAGACTTTAAAATGTGTCTGCTAGGAAAAAGTTTCCACACCCGTGCTTTGTTTTCTTCCCCAACCAACGTGGGACATCACAATCCACCACCCTTCAGGGCCAGCGTCCTCGCTGGCCCTCGTTCCTTTCTCTAATTGAGATGAGATCTCACAATCCACCCCTTTTCGAGGCTTAGCATCTTTGTTGGACACTCGTTCCCCTCTCCAATTGATGTGGGTCGTGGAATCTCACAATCCACCACATTCAAGGTATAGCGTTCTCGCTGACACACTAGCTCTGATATTATTAGAGAGGGAAGAAAAGCAAAAAAGAACAATATCCATTAACGGTGAGTTTAAGCTGCTACAAAAATTGTCATTTCATATTTGATTCAATAAAATTAATCTCGTTAATTTTTTTAAATAAAATTTTAATTTGTTTAGATTTTTTTCTTTTTTAAAATTTGGCTATAGTAATATAAAATTAATTATTAATGAAGAGTGATAATTGCATTTAATTATGTGTGTAATTTAAGGGTCAACTAATCATCTATTGTTGAGACTTAGGTAATTAATTCAAAATCTTATACTAATTTGCATTTATGTCACCATCATTTCCCCAATAAATTTGTTTATTTTTTAGGAAAAATTAAATTTTGATTGTTAGCTTTTTAAAGCTTCATTAATTTTTAGTTCTAATAAAAGATCATATAATTATTATTAGCCCATTGCTTAGTTTAATGAAATGAATTATAAATGTAACCAACAATTTTTTTGGATAAAAAATTAATTAATTTATATTATAATAAATTTTCTTGCATGAAAATGTTATGCCTATAAAATTTAAATGTACTTTACTACTCAATTTAAGGTATGGCTCTAGGTTTTCCATTTTTTAAAATTATATATATATATATATTTCTTTTAACAAAGTCAAATTTTAAATTATGACTTATATTCAAATGTGTTGTTAAAAAAGAAATAAATATAATTTTTAAAAATAAAAAAACTAAAACACAAAATAAGACATTAAATTTTCGGGTGTAAATGAGGGGTACATAAATGATTCGATGATAGAATGACCACGAAATGCTTAAAGGAAATGAAAGTTACTACATATACTAAAAATGTGCACCTCTTTTTCAGTGGCTCAATCATAGGAATTTCATTGTTAAGCATGATTTATCTGGAATAATTCTATGGTGTGTGATCTCCAGCATGACTCGTGTTAGTTTATAGGGATAGTCTTCACTCTTACCAGTGAAGAGTAAGTAATATGACCATGTCGGAGAATATCAGAGCCATCAGATATTCAATCCTCATTGAAATCTTAAAAAATATATAATAAAATAAGATTTAAAGAAATTAAGAGGCGAATTAGGGTTTAGAAAAATTTTAAATTTTAGAATAAAATAAAATAGACAAATGTGGACACGATTTTGAAAGAAAAAAAGATTTATTCTTTTTTAGTTTAAGAAAACACAAATTTGGGGCAACAAGTGAAGGAAAGAAAAAGGGAAAGGAAGACTATTTGTAAAAGGACAAATTTTCTTTAAAGGTTTCCAAAATATAATAAAAACATTTTTTAAACTATATTTTTGTGCAACAACTTTTAAAGAAAATTAAATATATATGATTAATAATTTTGTTAAACACTTCAATAACATTTTTAAAAAAATTAAAAAGTTAAAAAAAATATTCTTATTAGTATATGGATGAAACCATTAATATTACATCTAAAAAAATACTCATAAACTTTTAAAAAAAATAACACTCTAAAAAAAAGTTAAATTTTTTTTTTTACTATGAGCCCTTAAAATTGCATAAAATTGAAAAGAGAAATTATCTCTAAGGCATAAATAGACCATAGTCTATTAGATGCAAGAATTTTTATATAATGATTAAGAGTATTAATGATATTTTTTAAACAAAGTACTAGAAACAGTATTTTTTTTAAATTTTTTTTTAAAAAATTAAAGGGTATTAATGAAACTTAATGAGGTACTGGAGTTTGAACGATATTTTTGAAATAAATTATTAACTCGTAAAAAAAATAGTAATGATATTTTTAAAAGTTATAATGTATTATTGAAATATAATTTTAAATATTTTATCAAATATAATTTTAGATTTTTTTTTTTAACTTGTAAATTTTAAATATTAAAAACTTCAAAAAAAAAATTAAATTTATAATTTTAAAAATGTTTGTTTGTAGTGTTTTAAGGGAGAAGTGATCATTTTGAGTTTTTTAAATCAGCTTCTCTTTTTAGAAACTCTCGTTCTTCGGTTTTTTAACAAATTTCCCATCAAAATTATTATTTTTCTTTTTTTAGTATTAAAAAATATTTTCAATTTTAAACACGATTAAAATTTAGACTCTAAATTAGCCATCAAATTCCGTCAGGATCTTTTTCATATAATATCAAAATTAAATTAATTTTTTTTTTAAAAGAATGTGTTTTCAGGAGATCAATTAAGACGTACAAGTTGATA